ATGGGAGCATGTAAATAAAGAACAGATTCAAAGGACGAATGTTGAAAATGAATATTTAGTACCTAGTACACAACAGGGCACAGGCATTTTTTATATCATAAATAGTGAAATCGGTACATGTTCTTGTTTTGTTGGTATAAATGGTGCCCCATGTAAACATCAAGGAGCCGTCTCAATGAAATTTCATCTTTCAATGTTTAACTTTATTCCATCATTAACGCCAAATGACCGTGCAAATTATACTTACATTGCACTTGGTTATGTTGCTCATGATAATTCGTTTTATGCCTCGCTTCATGCACAACAAGCCCCACAACAAGAAAATTTACACCATAGTGAACCAACATTTTCTAGTACTCCGAATATTAATAACGAAACAAGCGATACTTCAGATATTGAGTGGAAAGAACCAAACGAAAATCGTGAAGATATCGATATTTTACCATTTGTTGCATTTTTAGAAGAGGTTAAGTTAGATTATCAAAATGCTGGCGAACCACTACATGCTGCATTGGATAAGTTCAAAGAACGTTATAATGTCGCAAAATCAAAATCAATTTCTCAGTTATCTTCCTATTTATATGATTTAAATCATAATATGGATCCGATGGCTCGTGTTAAGAGTGGTGCGCGAATCAGAGTTCAGGTAGAATCAGTTAAAAGATGTAAAGTAGAAAATGGTAGTAGAAAGCGAAGATTCCCTGCTTCTGCAAACAAAGAAAAAGGGATATCGGAATTATGTGGTCGGAGGAATAGCATTTCAGGAAGGTGGGCTTCGGGAAAATGAGAAACAATGGTAGGAGGTAATCTGATTAAATCGGAAAGAATTCGATTGTAAGATTATCTTTTCAATGATGCATAACTTATGTACGTACGTATTACGACCCTGATTACATAATCGCATTATAAAAACGTGAAATTTGCCGAGAACTAAACCAAACCTAAATATGTTCTAAGAATAATTGATAAAATTAGTTAAAAAAAATATATATATCTTATGTTGTGCTTCAGATTAACACTTGTCGTTGTGTGAGATTGCAGCTGACGCACCTCAGCAGGGATGTCACGTCACAATGTCCAAATAAAGCATTTCTGAAATCTGTGACAGGTTAGCCAATAATATGATGTACTATTTAGGACCGTCGGTCAATTTGACTATACC